CTACCAGCATCTTTTCTGTCTGGGTGAAAGGAGGTGGCAACTGAGACGGAGGGCGCGTGCGGGAATCCCCGGCCAAGCCGCGGAACCGGACTGTGCCGCAATGGCCGTGACACCTCTGCTACCGTAGTTTCCTGTGGCAACTCGTCGTGGCACTGGCTGTCCCCATGCACCCTCTTATCTCCAGGGAACCCTGGCTGGAAGAGTCTGTCTGGGGTCTGGGGTGGCTGCGTTACCAGTGAGAACTTCCTGGGATAAACGGTGGTGCAGAGCGATGGGGTGGGACTCCAGTCCCCGCGCCATGCGGCTTGAGTGGCCGGCCTGGCCCGTGGTCTCCAGGCAGCGACGCTATCGCTGGATATACTGCGGCTCGCTGTTTGCTCTTAGGCAGGTGCAGCAGCTTGAGTGCGGCGTCGGTTCCCACGGAGGGGGTGAGGAGGCTGCATCTCTGGGATGCACTGATGACAAAGCTGAGGGGGCTTGTGCAGCACTGAGGAGGGTTCAGCTTCCTGGGCAGGACTTACCTCCTCCAGCATTTCAACCCTCTGTGCCTTCTCCTCTATTCCTAAAAAACGCCAGTGGTACCTGAAATTCCGTTCTTTGGTTCCCAGAGCAGCTGCCAGAGGTAGGTGTATCACTTATAGGGCAGCTTAGACTGAGATTGAGATTTGATTTATGGGCAACCAGAAAACCCTGTCCAATCAGTCATCTGGAAAGCACTGAGTATATAGGGTCTGGGACATTGAAGGAGGATCTCAGTCTGAGGTGGGTGGGGAATTCCTCCCTTGCCTCCGACTTCACCCCACTCCACCCCACTCCCTGCCACCGGGAGCTGGCTCCTGGCACTACCTTCCATCCCCATCAGAGTCCTGACTGGAGGAAACTGATTTGCTGTTTGTTCGGTTCTAGCACAGGTGGGGCCTCAGATAACCTGCTGGACTTTTCCCACATTGGATGGTGGAAAGGTGTGGGGGCTGGGGAGCAAAAGAAACATGGGGGAGAGAGAAGTGGAAATAGGAGAAGTAGACAGGCATTCACTTATTCAGCAAAGAATGTGCCAGGTATAGGGCTGTGCACCAGCCGTCGATACAATCTGTGCCGAGTGGCTCCCACTCTAGTTGGGGGAAATGACAGGTAAGTCATTGATGACAATGGGGGCCGTAAGTGCAGCCACCAACATGTACAAATCAGAAATTTCAGAATCATTCTGACCTTCCATCTACCTTAGTTCCCTATACTCCTTCATCCCTGTGGTGGAGGCTGTGACAGAAAGCCAGACTCCTCCTCAGAAATGAAGGATTTATTCTCCTGCTGCTGAGAGCGCTGCTGGAAGACAGCCCTGAACTGTCAGCCCCTTTGGGAGTTGCCTGAGCTGAAGAAAGCCAGTTCCTCCAAGGTCATGTTCTCTTTCTGGGGCATCCTGTATCCAATGACTAATCATACAGAGGTATATAGGTTCAGCCTCCTTACCCCTTCAGAGGAAGATTCTGAAAGATGTTCACAGTTCATCGGGTTTACTAAAGCTTTGGTGGAGCTGAATTACCCATTCAGCTTCTCCCTTCACCCAATCTTACTTTCACCCTCTCTCTTGCACAGGTATTTGACTGCAAGAACACTGCTTACCCAATACCCTACATCATTACAGTGATTTTTATGGTAGAGTCTGTTTCCCTGGGAATGTACCTTCTCACTCCTGTCTTCAAACAACTATGAAGCCCTGTTGATTTTAGCTATTGGGTGTTCCTTGACTCTGCCTGTCTCTCCAGGGACACTGTCTCCTGCACTACTATCTTTCTACACAGTCCACCACACTTAACTGAAGCCTCCTCTCACCTATCCTCCACCTTACAGCCAGAGTGATCTATTCAAAACACAAATCTGATCTTGTCTTCCTTCTGACATTTCTGACATTACTTTGGGGACAGAAAAAACCCTCTATCTGACTCTATGAAGGCTGCATAGGCCCACTGATCTAACCTTATTTCAACTCACTGGGGTTCTTGATCTCTCAACTGTAAACACACTTCTAGTCCATTTTGGGGATGTATGTTCTCCAGTTACATGAATTTTTTCAATTGCTCTCTGGGAGCATTCCTTCTTTGTCTAATACAGGCTGTAATCCTTCTGATCTCATCTCAAGATCTCAACATTTCTCTAGGATTTTGGTTTTTTTTTTTACTTCTCCTCCTGTGGTAGGCAGAATTATAAAATAACCCCTAAGGAAGCTTCCTCTTGCCCATTCTCCTTCCTTGAGTGTTGGCAGAATCTGTAAATATGGAAAAAGGGATTTTGCAGATATAGTGAGATTTACTAATCTGTTGACCTCAAGATAAGATATTCAGCTAGTCTTAATCAAATCATGATTACTTTAAGAGATGAGTTTTCTCTGGTTGGTAGCCGAAGAGGAAGCCAGAGAAATCCGAAGTGTAAGAATGGACACACTGTGGCTGGCTTGAGGAGGGCACAGAGTGATGTTAGCTGAGAGCCGTCTCTTGCTGACAGACAGCAACAAAGTGGGGGCTTTATTCCTAGAACTTCTGCTAGTGACAAGAATGAGTTTGGAGACCTCCAAAGAGAATTTAGTCTGGCTGACACCTTAACTTCAACTGATGAAATCCAGATAAGAGAACCCAGCCTTCTGGACATGCCTGTGGTCTATCAAATTCATGGCGATTTATTACACTAGCAATAGAGACACTGACACACATGTCATCTCAGGAGGTAGCATAAACCATGCAAAGAATAAATGGAAGCACTGGCTATTTGCTACGGTTTAGAAAGATTTGGAGAAGTTGCAGGGGCTGCTGGTTTAGAGAGGAACTTGAGGGAGGAAATCCAGTGGGAGTGCATGGCAGTCCACTCGCTGAGAGTTGATAGTGGCTTGGACTAAAGTCATGCAGGCAGTGGAGAAGATGGGCCCTGAACTATTTAAGAGGTAGAGAGACCTTTTATATGTATAGGGTGAGCAAGAAGGATATGATTAAACTGAACAAGGCTCTGGTAACTGGATGGGAACCCTTTGATGAAAACCTCTTATGTTTCAAGTATATTACCTTTAATCTTGACAAATAACATATATTTAGGTACTATATTATTGATCACTCTTTTAGATGAAAAAAAAAAATCAAAAAGACAAAAAGACCTGTGTCTCAGAGAGAATGTAAGTAACTTACTAATGGCCACAAAACTATTAGATGTAAACACCACTATTTAAGGCCAATAATTTGGGAAATCAGAATTCAGGTGTTCCTTTGGTTTTGCTTCCCATCTTTCTCTCATTTGGCACAATTTTTTTTTCAAAAAAAAATTAAAGATGGATTTATTTATCTATACAGAATTGGGGAAAAGGTCAGAGGTACAGGAGGTGAGAGAATCCACCAGAGACAGGGTGGGGAGCAGAACAGGCAGATATACTGAAATACACTGCTGAGGGGAACAGTGGGTGGGTTGGGAAAGGTCTGCAATACTACGTGCATTACCTCCCAGGCAGGGGATCAAACTCATGCTTCAGTGGCTGTGATAGCTTTACAGTGCTCTGCTTTAACCCAATGCACCACCAGGGAGGGCCCTCAAAATTTCTGATTCATAAAATCTTTAATTCCATCACACACACACACAACACACCATCTTTCAGAGAGAAAATAGTTAGCTATCAGTGAATCTGTTCCATTCTGGACATGTTAAGTTTCAGATGCTTATTAGACATCTAGGTAGGAATTCCAGTAGGAAGTTGAATACAGGTGGCACAGGAAGGGATGCAAACCATAGTGTCAAAGAGAGAGCACTGAATGAAAAGAACTTGGGAACCTGGTCAGAAGCCCGGAAATAAAAGTAAAAACCATTATTTAAAGGCTGTATAGAGAAAGACCAGTCTGAAGAAGAAACCAAGAGGAGCAGACAGCGAAGTAGGAGGAGAACAGAGAGAGCAGGAATCATAGAAGTGAAAGGAGAAGATTGTTCAGGAAGTAAATGTGGCACCTGATACAACTGCTCCTGGCCTGAGAAATGTGCTGTGTGTTAGGGACTGGGCATCCTTGACAGCCCAGGAAGGAGTCATTCTGGTGAGGCTGTAGTGGAAGAAGACAGAGTGGGGTGCTGACATTGACAGGGGTGGGAGGGAGCTATGGGTTCCATAGCACATGATGGAGGCTCCTCACTCTTGACAGGAGCAGAGATCCAGTTGTAAGAGGAAGCTGGTATAAGAGAGCACATGTGTACATGAAAGCAAGTCATGGCCATCCACATAGCAACTCTAATCCTAGGCTTGTTTGCAGCTATGTGTGGGTTTATGACCGCATTCTGGACTGTGGTTTCGAGTGGACATGAGACGTGTAACTTCCAGAACTCTCAGTCCCAGCTCTTTAAGGGTAGGAGTGGACTTTTTGCTTTTTGTCACCGCCTGTCTCTGCAGGTTGTGTGTGATGTCAGGGTAAGCCATCTTCAGTGGTGCAGTGAGGGTAACAGATGATACACCAGGGATGGCAAGGTGACAAGAGATAAGAATTGGTGTCTACTGTGCACTTGACCCACTCAACCACT